GAAGGCTGGGGAGGGACTTTTGACAAGGGCAGGGAGTGATAGAACAAAGGGAAATGGCTTTAAACTGGAAGAGGGTGGGTTTAGATTAGATATTAGGAAGAAATTCTTTCCTGTGAGGGTGGTCAGACACTGGCACAGGTTGCCCAAGGAAGTTGTGGATGCCCCTTCCCTGGAAGTGTTCAAGGCCAGGTTGGATGAGGCTTTGAGCAACCTGGTCTAGTGGAAGGTGTCCCTGCTGATGGCAGGGGGGTTGGAACTAGATGATCTTTAAGATTCCTTCCAACCCAAACCATTCTATGACTAAAAATGCAATTTGGTCCTTGCTCCTCAGTAGGAAGGCTAATCTATAAAGCTGCTCCTGTCCTAAAGCAGAGAGTGGGAGTCTCTGATGCTAATTAAAATCAATTGAGCAAATCTCCACAACAGGCAGAAACAAGGCCTTTGTCCTGAGTGTCCGTTTGACAGATTTCAGAGCCTCTGGAGTGGTGTGTTAGCCATTTTCTTGCCTTCACCCATTTGATAGAAAGGTCAAAAATAAGAAAAAATTTTGTAGATCACAATGTGACAACAAGTTATAAATGCCACACCTCTCACATGCAGTGCTGCTGGTGCCTAACACCCTCCTGCAATAAATGCCACCAGAACACAGATGGAACTGAAGCGATGCTCTCCAGAGACCAGCGGCAATCCCAGGGAGGGCAGGGTTTCTATACAAGCTCTTCCCTGACCAATCTGATTCCGCTGTCCTCACTAGAGCATGCAGACAGACAGCACCAAGTGTGGCCAGCAAAGCCCTGGCCATGCTGAAAAGGAGCTACTGCTGCTGCTTCTTGTTCCTGAGGGACCTTTGGTACAGGTGGGTGCTGGGTCTCTGCCCTGTCAGAGCAGCTTCCAGCTGGGACGGGGCAGCTGCCGCTAGTCTGACATCTGATGCTATGAAAGACACCACTTTGGGCAGTTTAGTGCCCAGTGAAAACATGGACCTGTTTAACCCTTGCCAGACTGAGACTTCTTGCACTGCTTGACCACTAAATGTTTAAATCTGTCTTCTACAAGTGAATCTTCACAGGCAGCAGAACAAGCTGTTCTTAAGCCACACCTGGCTTCTCCTGTTTCAGAGCTTTTGCAGCCAAAGGCTCAGTCTACCCCTACCAGCAGACCTTAGCCTGTCTGCAGAGGCTTCCACACATCCATCCTGAGGCCACGGCACAACTAACTCAATGCTCAGGCAGCATTTGGAGTTTCCACTCGAACCAGCCATTCTGTTTTGGCAATGTGAGGGTAACCATTGCCCTTGGTCATCGTGCTCGCTGCAGCTGAGCTGGTAAGTCATTTGGGTGGCTTAATGACTAGTTATAAGCCTCAAAAAGAGTTCCCACTGATTATAGCATCAGCTTCTGAAGGTGTTTTCCAGCTGTGCTCCTCATTCCCTGTTTGCTCCTGGTTAGGATTCTATTCACCCCTTTTTTTCCTGGGTGGGAAATGAGAGAGCAGAGCTTCTCTGTCTTGTAGTACATGCTGAAGCTTAATTCTGCATCATCTGCACAGTCCTGCAAGCCACAGAGCTGCAGGTCCTACAGCACAGGTACCTGTGCGGCCACCTTCTTAAATCGTCCTTTTGGTAGAAATGGTCAAAGAGAGTTGAAATTGTTGAACGACATCATGAGCAGAAATCCTTTGAGGGATTGTCATGGCAGTGGTAATCTTGAGGAGCTCATCCCTTGGCTTTAGGGCAGATGTGGGATTTCTCTCGGGTTTCATCTTTCCACCACTGACCTACCAGGAGTTGATTTTCTTAAAAAGTGCTGCTGTCTTGCAAGCCTCTCCTTGGCAAAGCTAGGTAACCACACCTCCCTGTGGCACAGCGTCATGGGGGCATAACTGTGCTGCTTTTTCTCTTGAGCACTTCCAGCCCTGGCTTAGCAAGGTTCACCAACTGGTGCCTGTCTTCAAAAGAAACCGGATTCACCGCTGCCTGTGTTGTATGGCTTGTGTCTCTCTAAAAGTTGATGGTTTTTTTCATCTATCCTCCTTTAAAATTACAAATGAGCAGCTTTCCTGTCTACACCGTTATGGATCTTTGCTGTGGAGCAGCACAAAAAGCTGATCTCAGCACCCCCATTTAGATACAGGGTAGTTGCTAAATACCCATTTCTGGCTGGCCAGTGTAACAGTATGAGCCACTGTTTAGGGTGTGAGGCAAGAGAAATGCAGCCCGAGTTATTCCTGTGGTTCTGATTTGGAGTCTGGGGATTTAACCTTACTGCACACTGCTGTTTCTCAGCCATACAATCAGGGATAGCAATGTCTGTCTATCATCTACAGATGCAGGGGGTTACTGTTAATATTTGGCCAGGACCTGTGAAATATTGCTTTAAACTTAATCTGAAGAGTCTTCCACAAATCCATTTCATGCTGACTTGTTTCCTCTCCTCTTGCTAACCATGTGCCAAAGAGCCAGTTTAAACATATGTTTCCTATAGACTGTAGGCACTGTGCTCTGTGGGGCTTGTGCAGTTTTGCAGGCGTTGAGCTGAGCGTGTTGGCTCAGGCACACCGTGCTCAAACACCAGGCAGTGTTTGCACCCGCACAAAGGGAATGTCTGCAAAATACATTGCCCCAGCTGAAGTCTGGCTTGATAAATATATGATGAGTTGTTTGTGTAATCTGCATCCTTATTATATGTGTTACATTTGCTTTTCTGTGTAAGGCTGCTTAGATGAGAGGAACTGCTCGAGCAAGCAGTCTCCTGGCTGGCAGCAAAGGCTGGTGCTCCCAAGGCTCCTGACCTTCTGTCCTTTCTCCTGTTCAGACAGCCCAAAGCTTTTTATGGTGCACAATTGTTGAAGGATAGGGTGAAAAAAGTTTGTCATCAGCTCCAATGGATGGAGGATAGATAAACTGGATAAATTCACATGGTTTGAACAGGTCCTGACTCACCACAGGTTAGCTGGGACTATGGATTATACTTTATCATTAGCCCTGGAGAAGGACTTCATGAGCTGGGAGAGCAGAGAGGTGTTAGTGCCTGCTTTCCCCAGGCTGTGGGCTCACAGCAAAGTCGGGGCATTGGGCAGGTAGGAAACTTTAAGGTCCTGCATTAAACCTAGCAGATCTCCAGCTGTCAGGAGAGCACCTGGAGCTATGGGGAGGCTCAACCATGTTTCCTGCTGGTATAAACACTAAAGGAGCTTCCTACCCCACCAGCTCCCTGGGGGTATCATCGGCAGGCACCCTGCCCCACGCAGGGCTCTCCTCCACCCTCGGCAGGTGAATGTCCTGCTTAGTGTACCCCCACCAACCCTCTGAGGGTTAAACACACAGCACACAGGGAACAGCCGGGTGTTTCCAAACCAGCCAGGCATTTCTGCACTGTCTGTCTGCAGACGGTCAGACAAGGAGACACATGTGCTCAGGGGCACTTGCTGCTGTTTGACTTCTTGGCTTTCTTTGCAACAGGAGTTATTTTAACTGACGGGGTCTGCTCTGCAGAGAAAATGAAAACGTGCCTCAGAAGCAAACTGTCACACTAGGAGAGGGTGGGAGCTTGCAGGGCAGCGTGGTTTGTCACCCTCCCCTTGCCCACTGGCTGCCTCTCTGCAGGAGCGATGGGCTGGAAGCAGGGCTCAGCTCTGTCACGCCCGGGTAGCTCCCAGTTTTGGCAGCGGGTTTGTGTGAAGCTCCTCTCGCTGGGAGAACCCTCCCCAGGCCAGAGCAGCAGCCTGGGTTTGCCCTCCTTCTCAGGGCTCCTCCCACCGCCTTTTTGGAGTGGGGAAGCAGCCAGGCACTGCCACTGTGTCCCCTCAGCTGAGCTCCTCTCCCCCTGCTGAAGTACCAGCCAGGATCAGAGGGATCACTCCGCCTGGATGCCCAGTTTAGCTCTGTGCAGTGTGTGTTTAAGCCATGAAAACATAGCCCTACCCCATTTGGCCATGGGCCTTCCAACCACAACCGCTACCGAGCGCCTGGTTAGCACCAGGTCACAATCCTCAAGCTTTGGGCACTTACCCCAGGGAAGCGGAGCGGGGACACGGCTTCAGCCAGGAGCGCACGCTGTGCTGTGAGGGGATCCATTTCCAAAGCACGGAGACAATGCCAGCAAATCCCTTTCAGGGCAAGGGGAGGAAAAGTCTCTTTTTTTTTTTTTTTGGCTCCCCCAGTATTGTTTTACACTAGAAGCTTTTGACAGCAGGTGAATGCGCCCACCACACTAGAGACGAGGTGCTGGGGGGCACCAGTCCTTTGCTAGATAAAGTGTCCCCAGGGGCTGGTGGGAGGTCTGGTCTTCGTGTGGTGCCAGTGGATGGAAGCAGGGGACAGGCCCAGTCAGTTCAGCAGTACAATACGATTTACAGCAAGCACGTTTCTCAAGACATCTGCAAGGACAGAGCTTCACTGAGCATCGTATATACACAGATGGCAGAGGAGGCTGGGCTGAGCCCTCCGCTACTGCAAAGCAGTCAAGGATGGACTCTCAGGGTCGGGGTGGGGGAGGAAGTACCACTGGTTTGCTGTTACATACTGTACATATATCTATTAATAGCTCCTTGGCATTTGATGTTCACAGCCGGTTTCCTTTAATGGTGAGCGTAAAAAGGAGGCAGAACGTCTTCACCTACTTCCCCCTGGGAGGAGAGAGAAAACAGCATCTCCCGCTCCCCTGGCTCAGCTGCCTGCCCAGGTGCCACCTTCGCCAGGGTTGTCTCCTTCTCCCAGTACTCTCCTCCTCCTCATCGGCCGCCCACCATGTGCTGGCTGGGGCCAGTCCTAACCCACGCCGTGCTTGCCCCATCTCCGCTGCTCAACGGGATCAGTGCAAGTTTCCGTCAGCTGCTCTGCACCTCCGTTCCGCTGGACGGGCAGGTGAACCAGGTTCAAACAGAAGGAAACAAAACAAAAGGAAGAAGAAGAAAGACAAAGGGTAATGAGAAGGTCCGTGGCTCACAGCTGCCAAAGGAAATCTGTCGCCGTGTTTCTCTGACCATACTTGTCCCAGCCACTACAGCTGCTGTGGAATCCCCTGTTCCTTGTAGCCTGTGAGGAGGGAGGGGAAGGGAACATGATTAGTGATAATTCCTAACGAGGACCTTTGGCGAGGCTCTAGCGAGCCACGAGCCTGGCTTACCCAGAGTGGCAAACCACATGGGAGAACAGGAGGGGCTGCCCCGGGGCAGGCTCAGCCTGGCAAGCCGCCCTACCTTGCTTTAGCCCCGTGCAGCCATGGGGTGCGACCCCCTTCCTGGGCACGGCGATGCGGCTGCTGGCCTTGCCGCTGCGGTGCCTGCCAGCCACTGGCCCCAGCATGGGCAGAGGCACTTCTTCTTGAAGGGGTTATAAAGGCACAGTAGGTACTGGCAGCCACCAGTTCCAGTGCAGCCCAAGAACCTAAAACCTTCATGGAAATAGTGTATTTTTCTACCTAAATTATTCTGTATCGGAGCGTGTTTTTCTGCAGTGTGGGGGAAATGTATACTTCTATTTCTGCTTATATACTGCTCCAGAGACACCACTGTTCCCAGTCACTGAGCTGGCAGCTTACTGGCCGTGCGTCTGATACACTCACATCTCGACTTGTGATCTACATCTGAACATCATCCTTCCAGAGGACTGCCACGTAGGAGGAGGCTGGTTTCCTCTATCTACCTTTTAGTTCCTGTGCTGGCTTTTTGCTAACAGAGCTCTCCAGCAGCAACCAATTTTCACTGCAGTTTGCAGAGGTGAACAAATATCTCTTGAAGGAGAAGGGGGATGCCTTTAAACACAGGTGATGTGTTAGAATTCAAACACAGACCTCGGGATGCCTCCATGGGCCCTTTCCCTGATGATATTTCCCCTGCCTTGCTATGCACTTGCTTTGCTCCAGCCCAGCAGAATTCCAGGTGCTTTTGTTGGGACACAGCAGCCATCTGGCTGGAGGACTGGAGAAAACTGAGATTTCCAGCAGCAAAACCAATTACACTGGGAAACTGCCTGGATCCCTCTTCCTCCATCCCTTCTCCTCTTCCCCCAGCCATGGGGTCTAATACCATGCCCAACCAAGGCAGCACAGCCCTCAGCAGGGCTCTGTGTTGGCTCATGCTTGACACCAGGGCTGTGCTGTGTTGCAGCCACATGGCTGCTGCAAGGGCTAAAGCAGCCTGTCCTGCTGCTTGTCACAGCTCCTCGGGGACTGGGACCCCACTTCATTTGCTATCCCCTATGTAGTGGTTGAGAGGAGGCTGTAAATCCCATAGGGGAGAGCTCCTTCCCCCAGGGAGCTAGGGCAAGGAAGGGCACAGGAGAGCACCCACAGCTCTTGTGCTGCCAACGAATAACGAGAAAAATACTGGGGTTTTTTTAACACTTTCCAAGGTGGTGGCAATGACTGCACCAGAAGCTTTACCTGCTTTCTTTTTAAGAGAAGCTGGAATTGTTATTACAATAGTATCAATGTAAAGGCTCTCCTTTTTAAAAAGGCAAACCAACCACCCTTGCCTGTACTGCCTGCAATAGTGAAGATCTTTCAACTAGAAACCTTTTAAAAATCAGGAGGTTTTTTCCTTTGTTTAAATAATGTAAGTAGCCTGTCATTTTTATATTTTGAATTTCAAATGAGTCTGAAATTTCACATCTTCAGAAGAGTGCTTAGCTTTTCAAACACTTTTCCATTGATGCTTTTTAATATTTCTTTCCAACCCTTATGTCAAGCTTTTGTAAGTCCCTTAAAAAAGCTGAACACAAAACACCAGCAGGTGCCACAGCCCCTATCTTTAAGGGACTTTTTGCTGAACTAAGAATTTGCCCTAGCAAGTGAACTTTGCTGTACTTTGGAAAAATCCATGCATTCATCCAGCATTGGCAGTCTGGATCTCCTGCAGCTAAATGAGCATAAGGAACAGAGGAGGCGATTAACGACACTTACCAGCACGTAACGTATTACCCTGCATGGCATTGCTGCCCATCGTGTGCAGCTGAACAGAAAGACTCTCACGTCTTCCAAACAGCTTTTTCTAGGGGGAAAAATGATGATTTCTTACGCATTTGTGTTCTAAGTATGAGTCAGCTCTGAAGGCAAGATGAGCTGGATGGAAACCTGTAATATGGGCTTGTCTACAGCATCGGTTTAATTTGTTTAGGGAGCACAGTAAAATAAAAAAACCCCCAACCAACTGCATGGACCAGAGAGTTGGGTATGCCATAAATCCTTAGTTAAAGTAAGCAAGCTAGGTTATGCTTACAGTAACTTGCTTGCGTAGCTATGCCTTCTATTAAGATATAATAGAAATCCTTCTAGTCCTGCTATTGGTTTTGAAGCTAGCTGGAAGGCAGTTACAGTGGCTGAGCCTGTAACTCTCTTTAACTGACCAAAGTAAGCCAAAAGATGACCTGTCCTATGCTAAACTTATTTATTAAAATATTTCAGACTTAACTTATGAAATAGTTTGTATATGAAAATAATGATTGCCTTTCTTGCATAGGAATAGCTGTTCTGTATGAAGCAGCTTTACGTTAGTACACCCGCAATGCAGTTAAGGTGCAGTTCTGTAAAGCAGACAGCTCTGGGGTCAAAATTAAATTTCTCTGAGTATCTGTGCACAAAATCACTTAATCGAGTTTGACTGAAATTGCAGTTCTTTTGTAAACCATTGTGAGTAAGGTTCAGGCAAAAAGAAACCAGTCTGTGCACAGGTATCCTACCAGGACTGGGTTTATGCAGAGGGTGGTCTCGGGATGCTCTCGAGGCTGAAACGGGTCCCTGCCCAGCTCTGAGGGTGCCCTTGGAGCAGCCTGGGGGCATTTCAATGCTGGGTGGCCACAGGACAGACACAGAGACGGGTGGACACACACACACGTATAGGCACAGGGCTGGACTCGAGCTGGGAGTGGGCAGCACCAGCCAAAGTGAATCCCAAATGGCTTGTCCCAGCCGAGCACTTGCTGCTCTCCATGGGGAGCTGCCATGGGGCACGAGGAGGAGGAAGAACAGAAACAAACTTACCTTGTGAAACTTTGATGGTGAACAAAAGGAGGCAAAGGAACATGAAAGAAAGAGAGAGGGAGAAATGTAACTGTAGACGATATATCCAAAAAACACGGACAACCAGAAAAGAACAAATAAATTCGGGCTGCAGAGTAAACAGAGAACAGCTGCTCTACCATCAGACGTTCACACCAGGGCTAAACATTAGTTAAAATCCTAGTACTTGAAGTGGATTCTTTCATTTGGGGCTCTTGTTTAAAGAGGATGGGGGAATCCTCTGTTGCTTTCCAGCTTACCAGCCCTGAGCCGGACAGGCTGGATGGTCTAACACCTCTGAGCAATGCTTCCACAATGCTCCCACAAACGCTTTCCTCCGTGACACTGCTATGTCATGGGTTTGACTGAAGGGGAACCACTGAAGGAAGGTGGCAAACAAGATGTTAGGGTGTACTGGATGGCACGTGGCATGCTGGTCAGGCCTAAGAGCTGGGAACACTACACCTGACAGCTTTTTGGCAGTTTTGCTGCTGCGTTTGCTTGTTCCTGCAGATAACTTGTACCCATGGTGTGGATCAGCCTGACTGGGTGCTGCAAACTCTGATGGTATTTATCATTCCTACAATATTTTAAGAACTTACCCTACCACAGCATTTGGTAGGAAACTGCACAAAAAGGGTATTTTAACTACTTTCCTCAGACACAGTTTGGGGAATGGCTCTACTTAGATTTTAAAAAACCACGATGGATCTAAGGGGACAATTTGTCCTCAGAATTTCCTTCATCTCATGAAGGGTTACCAGCTGGTTTTATGATGTTGTTCTCTTCCGAGTCTCTCAAGTGCTCTCTGCTCCCTTTCCTTCCCAGGGCAGCTGTGTTACCTGCGCTAGCAGGGGCCCTGCAGAGAAGAGAGGCTCGGTGATGCTTTCCAAATTCCCTCAGAGCCCAAGCATACAATAACTGTGCAATCATCTGCCACTGCTTCTGGCAAGGTCTGAGCACTGTCATTAGCAAAGGGGTGACAAGTGGACACCGCAATTACAGGTAATTTCTGACTACTGTCTGGCAACCAGTCCCTGAGTCTCAGGTGCCTGAGAAGCAGGGGCTGCAGCAGAAGTCCACATCCTGTGAAACCAAAAGTGACAATGCCTTTGCTCCGTCATAGGCGCAGCCACACAAGTTGTTAATGCAGAGGCCAGAAGCTGAGCGAGGGCTTCCTTCAGAAACCAGGCTCGACTTCTTGGTTGAGTTCATTAGAGGCAAAACAATGCTCTGATATATAGTTCCTGACTTCTGTCCCCTGTGCCAGCTCAGCGTGGTGGTACTATATTGGTTTCTGTGGCATTTATGTCAAGAAACAGCACAAATCCTTCTATAATGAGCTCTGAGCAGCTAGGGAGTTACTGGAAAGGCCGTTCCTCTGTGTTCATTCTGCACAACGCAGCTAATGAAGACATGTGCTGCGTGGGCTGGGCACAAGGTGTGCCTTTAGCAGAGGGAAACTTGCCCAGAAAGCCTTAGGAGGCTCATTTTCCAGTTGGCCTTGGCCAGCCCATCAGCTCTGTTTTGTCTCAGCTTCGTGCCTCATCCCCACAGCCGTGACAAGGGGTTCGAGGAGAGCAGAGTGCAGCCGTGTTGCCCAGCCACCAAGGGCAGCTGCATATCTGCAGCAGCAAGAGGAGAGTCCAGCTGATTATGTTTTTTTGCAAAAGAATTAAGTCCTTCCTTTTAATCTACCTTTGCCTTCAGACAGCAGGTAAAGTGAAGGACGGTTCCCAAAGCCATATGGCAGCTTAAAGAAAATATCTGTGGTGTTTAACGGGGCCAGCTGGCAATTCATTTGAATTAGCAGAGAAAATGCCCCATGACATTGTGCTGCCAAAAGTAATTAAGTGTGACAGCAAAACTGCATTCAATTAATCTTCCTTCTGGGATATATCCAGCTAAAGGACATCTTACAGGAGATGAGGGCTGGACAGGACCCCTCGAGGTCAGGTGGTCTCTTCCCATGTCCCACCTTGCTCCTGACAGATGTGGGTCTACCTGCTCTTGGGGTCTTCCAGTGACTGACAGGGCAGATCCTGCCATGCCACCTCTTCAGCATTTTGACTTTACTGGAGGGAAAACATCTAATTTCCACACAGATCTTTCCTGCTTTTACTTAAGTCTGTCTTAAGCTAAACTGCTGCCCTCTCACGTTTACTAGCCTGTTGAACTTCATTGCCTGCTGTCTCATGGTTTTCTGGACTCTCTCCAGGTTGTCCACATGTAGTACAGCCTCCAAAGCTGGCCACAAGCCTCGCTGCAGACTTACATGTGCTGAGAAAGGTGAGGGGGACAGGTAACGTCCTACAGGCTCTGCTCCTACCTGCCTGGGCAGTTTGTTCCTTCCACAGCAATGTACTCCTGAGCAGCTTGTGACTCACTGCAGCCACCACATCCTCCTCTGAAAAACAAGCTGTTCCCTAGTGTGTATTTATGCAGTTGATTAATCCTTCCTTAGTGTCTTGGGCTTGTCTCTACTGAGTTTTTTTTTTCCAGACCATTTCTTCGATTTGCTTGGATCCGGACGCTGCCCACCCTGTACCTGCCACCCTTGCAGCCGCCAGTGGTGCAGGGCTGGAAAGCCCCTTCTCCAGTCCATCATCAAGCTATGAATGAAAATACTGAATAGAGTTGGACTTGGAAGGCACCTTTCAACACACATCTCCTTATATCTTTCCTATTCAGGATAATGCATTTAGAGAACAGTTGTCAAGTGCATTTTCACCCAGGCCACGTCTCCCTGGCTTGCTGATGGGAACGGTGTGTGAGACGGTGTCAGCGCCTGAAAGTCAGGAGGGATGGCTGACTGCCGCCACCACTCACAAAATGAATCTCTCTGCCACAGAAGGGAAGCAAGCCAGTCTGACACAGCTTGCTCTGGACAAACCCAGGCTGACTTGGTTTCTTTTTATTTTCTAAATGCATGCAAGTCACTTATTTGATTACTTCTTCCAGGAATTGAAGTATATCTGATTGGCCTATAATTCTTCTTTTCTCCTTGTTAAAGACAGTATGACATTATCCCCAAAGCTCTCCCCTCGGAGCAGGCTTTCCCTTTTAACGGCTGAGAGTTAGCACTAGAAGATGAAAAACTGCAACAAGCCTCCCTACTTCCCATCCAGCTTTCTACCAGCTAATGGTCAGGCAGGCCCTGATCCAGGGAGCGAGGGACTCGGTCCTCAGGGAACACCAGAGTTGAGTCCCCAAGCCCTGGCTGCTTCCCACCCCTCTCCTCACTGCTACCACCTACCAGCTTGGACACCACCACTTATACCCAGTCTCTAGCCCATCAAAATCGTATGGCACCCTCACAGGGACGCATGGAATGGGCCATTTCAAGGTGAGGAAGACTAGAGGTGGGCAGTAGTTTTGTATTTTTTTATCTATTTCCCACCTGTGTGCAGATTCAAGTTGCAACAGTGCACAATTTCTGTCCAGTGCTTGGAAGAGTTTGTTTGCACACAAACAAAACCCAACCAAAGCAAGCTGTTTCCTGGCAGTGTTTTTAAATGAAATGTTTTGTTTCTAGCATTTGAAACATTGCTTCCTTTTTAAGTTATTACTTTTTGGGGTTTTTTTTCTGAACATGAAAACAAAATGTGAAAAAACAAACCATTTTGGGTCTGACAGGGCTGTTTGATCCAGCTGGGAGCAATTAATCACTTTTGTTCTATGTTTTGATTGAAAAATTAGTTTTTTTTCTTTTATTCTCCACCAACTAAGAGCTGCTTCATTTAGCCATTATTTTCTCTGCATGGTAAGTAAACTTAAAACCCAGCTATTCAATGAGACAGCAAGAAACTGCCAAGGGCTGCAACTTGTCGGATGCTATATAGCTGGTTAACATCAAACACGTTGACTCCTCTTACCCTTCTCTCCTGCCACCAGAGGGGCTAGGATGAAATACTGTCACTGTGGTCAGGGACCTCTTGCCCTGAGCATCCCCAGCGTGTGCTGCTCACCCACACTCTGCCTCCCAAACTGGTGGGGTCTGGCCAGGTGCGGGGAACAGCTTCAGGGTTGTATGGTTTTCCCCAGCAACCAAACTGGAAAACCATTAAGACCCAGGACTCCCTCCTGAACCCGAGCCCCAGCCCCTCTACCCAGAGGACATACATGAACAGGACTATGGAAAAGCAAGTCATGGTTTCAACTGCAGCTCTTTATCTGGACAAGCGTTCTGCTGCCTCTCCCCACAACTGCAGAACTGGGTCCTGCCAGGCAGAGAGCTGCACATGGAGGCTGCCCAGCAGAGGAATAGCAGAAGAGCGTATGATTATGAACACACGATTATGAGATTACACACAAATTGGGCAGGTTCTTAAAGACATATCACAGATGTACACCAATTCACAATTTATCCTCAGAAATAACTTTGCCTACCCCTGCTCTGTTGGTACATCTAAAAGGAAACGTGGTAAGTGGTTTGCAGGAAAAAACAAAGGGCAGTGCTGCCTTCATCTCGAGGAAAGCGTTTTGCCTCGCTTATGTTCAAGTTTTTAATATCGATTGTTTGCTCTGCATGGGGATTGCCCTTAGCCTGTAAATTGAAAGTGGCTCACGAATTAGTAGGTGGTTTCGTGAGAGGGTTTAACCCCTGGGTTTGGCAGCTGAAGATGTGCACTGGTTTCCTGCTGGTTTTTTTCAATTTCATTCATTTCATTTTTAGGCAGGTGCCTGGCAATTTCCTCTCTCCTCTTCTGTCATACAGCCACAGATGTCATCAGCGGAGATGACAAAGTGGAGCCCCTTTCACACCAAAGAGCAAACGTTGCTGGTAAGATGTTCTCTGGGAGAAGCCTTGCTGTGAGAACTGCCTGCCCTGCCAGCCTGAAGGATCTCAGACCTGTTTGTTTTGGGGCAATGCCCACCAACCTCTGCCAGCCTTTGGAAAGGGAGTAGGGTCTTGGGGATGCAGTCAGCACCCTGAGTTGTAGGCTGCTTATGGTTTTGAAGGTGAGGCGAGCCTGTCACCTTCAATCTCTGTGATATAATACAGATATGATATAACTTGTATACCAGTAAAAGTCTTTAGCAGATAAAATTACAGAGCCGATATTCTAGATTGGTAATATATACTAACTGGGTATGTTGAAAAAAAGATTCCTCTCTTCTTCCCCTAGACTACTGTTTTGAAGGTTCCTTAAAGGGTGTAGGGGAGATCCTTCTAGGAGTAGCTAAACAGTCCTGCTCAGCCTGAGAACTTGTTGTGAAACATGAAAAAAAGCCTTTGGGTAAATGTACTCTGGGGAGGAAGGGGAGGGTCCAGGAGCATCCTGAGGGCTTTTCTGGGGAGAGGTGGCCCTGCATGCTCCCTGGGAGCAGAACCAGCCTCACAGGAAGGTCTCACTAACCAGAGAGATGCAGCCAGAGTCATGAGGGAGAAAAGGCTTTTTTGTTGAAACACATACGTGGATGTGACCAGGGCAGAAGGGGCTCCAGACAGCAGAGTTCACAGTGCTGGGGGGCTTCACCCCTTCCTGCACTTTCCATTTTATAAAGGGGAAAGGAAGATCTTAACCCATGTGGTGGGATGGGAGGTTCTTCCAGATGTGACGCAGGGCCCATCCCAACTGCCTCCCAGCAATTCCTCTGCCTACTGTGTTTCTCATGGACTTGCAGACCCATCCTGTGGCTCTACTTCCCTACAGTGCAGTCTGATGGCTTGCAGGGGCATTAGCTGGGACCCAGCAACACGGCCATGGAGAGGAGAAGTCGGGAGGGGAGTGAGTGTGCTGTACTTACTTGCGAGAATGACCATGTCCATCCCCCAAAATATACTCATAATCCAGCCAACCATCACAATCGCCGTCAGGATCTGAATCAGAGCAGCAGCAATGTTCAGCCAGAAGACACAACACATGTGCCTGTCAGGGAGGTCAGTCCGGGCTCCGCACAGCACGGTGAAAGCGGATACAAATGTTCCTAGGGAGAGAGTAGCAACAGAATGTCCAGTGAAAGCCAAGGCTTCATGCCAGATTCCTTTCCTTAGACCCACTTCTTACAGCATTGCACTTCTTGTGCTCCCACTGCAGTGCTGAAAAGCTGGAAACACTTTACAGGAGGACAAATGGAGGCACAGCCACACCTCACTTGAACTGTTTCCCATTGAATTACACGGATACTTATGCTTGAAAACCAGGACAGAAAAAACACTCTCTGGGTTTTGGCTCCTTTCCCCCTACCCAACAGTAACCACTTATGCACTGTAGGCTGTTTACAAGGGAGTGCTGCGTGTCTGTGGAAATACCAGTCTACCTTTTTTCTGCCTGGTGGCTCTCTTTTGGGGAGAACATTTAACACACACAAACTCTAAAAGGGAAAATTTCACCCAGAGTTAGAACAGGACTGGCTCTAGAAAGCTATATGAGTCTGGCAGCCTGTTGCTATTGACAAACACTGCTCTAGAAGGAGCACACAAAGAAAAAAAAAAGGGGGTGCTAATGTGGCACTGCATCTTCGCACAATGCTTTCCTCAGTCACAAGTTGTTGCCTGAGAGCATGTTCTAACAAAGCAGAAGCAGCTAAATCAGCACTGGAGCCAAGCAACCTGGTGTTGCAGCCCTTGGCTCTGCTTGAGACCAGCTTACAAAACTTGCAAACACCCTGCAGACTTCCTAACACAATTCAGATGCAGGATCTTGTTGATGTATGAAAGTTAAAGCTGGAGAAAACAAAAACAAGCAAACAAAAAAACCCCTACACCACGGCACAACTACACTGCCTTTACAAAGATTCTTCCTGAATTTACCAGACTGGACAAGCCTGATCATTTATTCGCAGCAGATGTCCTGGGCCCATGGTTGGCTGAAACCTGCAGTTCAGGGAAGCCTTGTCTGTCCCACAACCAACCTGCAGAAATATATAGCATGGGCAAAGAGGAGAAGAAACTGTTTCTGACCTCTATAATGCACAAGCTGTTGGCCAGGAGATTCAGTTGCATGATCTAAGTATGCATTTCAACACCTCTTATAATTATGAATTGTCTTTGGGTTGTTTTTTTTTTTAATATAAATTCAGCATTGCTAAGGTAGGTACAAAGGTGTAATGTGGATTTTAATGGATAATGTAGTTCTGTGAAATGCTTTCTTTAATTAATGTCTTAAATTAAAAATCCCACAGCATGATGTCCAGTGGATTCTACAAAAATTGGTCTTTTTTCTATCAAAGGATGGAAGCCTGCAAACACTCTGTAAGGTGTGAATGAATGAATTCATCTTCAGTGCACACAGTGCCTTGTTGAACTCAGGGGAAGGAGGGACTCCCTTGGTGTGACTGAAAACAGGGAGGAAACCCTCAGTTTACACCCTTCCAGAAGACTTCACCAGACAGAGAGAGCAGAAGGATCTGCTTAGGAGGAAACTACCGTTTTGTCCTGCACAGCCAGGGTGGTGGAAGAGAGAATCTCTCCCATTGCTGCCTCTTCTTCAGTAGGTCATGAGGATAACAGGCAGTTAAGATGCTGAAATGCTGGGGAAGGCTGGCTACAGCCTATTTTTAATCTCACCATCCTCTTGCAGGCTTCAACTCCAGCATCTTCCTAACACTCCACCAGCTCCTAAAACCCTGCTCATCTTCCTGCCGCTGGCTCGATCTGATTTCACACTCCCACCCGCTCCCTTTGCTGCACGTGAAGCTGGGCAGGGAGCGGCACGGCGGTGGAGGGGAGTGGGTGAGGGCTGCTGGGGTGGTGGGAGGCAGCCCTGTGGCAGAGCATCGCTGCAGGGAGAGGGACAGCACCTTCTCCTGGGTGAGAAACCCACCCTGGGCTTCATCCTCTGACTGTTTGGCTTTCACAGGCAGGGTTTCATCCCCTTATCCACCAAAAGAAAAGGGTCTGCACAGAGGAAAAGGGGAAATCATTTTAATCCCAAAGGATGTTGTATAAATCTCCCCATTGCTTGTTAAAAGAAAGGCTGTGATTTGCTCTGGGGCTTTGTCTTCCATTTCTTTTGTGTCGTCCATGTGGGACTACATGAGATCTCTGCCCTGCTTCATCGATCTTGTACTTCCTTTATAGTGTCACCAAAGCAGAAGAAGCCTGGAATATTCCCCCATGCTTCCTGAAACTGTTCTCTGCAGAGTTACACCACAGCACTCTCTGAGATTAAATATGGATTGAGGCAAGATCAGAAACTGGGTGTTTACATTTTCCCATCAGGATGAGAAATCCTGCCAAATGGAAATGCATGTCTCTCCTTAAAATGAAAATGAAAATCTTCACCTCCTGCCTTACCTTTAACTCTTCCAAGATGCGTTACAAAAAAGGTCACAAGTGAGCAATAATTCTTAAGCTACGGGTTCAAATCCTTCCAGTGAAGCTTTTAAGATTTTTACATCATTACAGTGAGATGCTGAATTAGCTAATTAATCCCCTAAACACCACAGTGACTAAGCTAATGTCTAGTCCCATTCAGAAGGGAATAAAGCAGACAAAGCAGTTAAGTGTCCCTCTCTGGACAGGGAACTGACACAGAAACTAGGATTAAAATCTCATTAATTTTGGCTTCTAATTCCCTCTTCAGGCCACTTGCCTACTCACAGGAGCCAATTCATTTTCCAGTGTCAGTGCATTTTCTTTATTAATTATGGTTAGTTAATCTTTGAGAGGTTGTTGGCATTTTTAAATACAAGACCTGAGACATGTCAGCAGACAGAAGATGGAAGGATTTTTCCTCTGGTTCAGATATGCTTTAAAATGTGAAGCAAGAGAATCTTAAATGCACTTGTCAAGGTAGATGATTTCCCCTTAAGAAGCCATCGTAGTTACACATTGCCGAATATGGAAGTGTTTGCCTCTGGAAGTGGAGAGGAGGAGGAGGAAGGCAAGCAAACAAGCTGTATCTGTGAATACTGCCTGGCTGTGTCAGAGCTGTGGCACCGAACCACGTCCCTTCCTGACCAGGCATTCAGATGCTTGAATACCTATAGCGGAGCAATTGTAAACCCAGTACACAAACTGCGGCTGGGATGATCTTGGCCAAATAAATCAGCTGTCCAAAAACATCTCAGGCTGTGAGTATAACCAGCAATCACAAACTGCTAACTTTGTGTGCAGGTGTAAACTAAAACCCCCCACAGCTATGCCAGTATAACATCAGTAAATTATATGAAGCATATCTCCCCAATGAAAAATACCCCCAAACACAGTGAAATCTGGGATTATTCTAAATTGCGAATTAATACAGCCTCTACAGGGACAGCAGGGAGGTGGTGGAGAGAAGATGTCCTATGCTACCTAAGGAGTCTGTTAGTTCAGCCTGACGGGGCATCAGGGCCCACCTCAGACACCTGTCCAAGCCATACAGCCCCCTGGCACCCAGAGCCAGCAAGAACCAGGGGCTGGGCAGAGGGATTGGTGGGAGCTGAGGTTTTTCTTTCTGGAGCAGCTGGGAGTGAAGGCACCATGTGCAGCAAGGCTGGGAGGGGATGGAAAGCCAAGCTTGCTCTTTCAACTCATCTCTTCTCACTTAGGGCAGTGTCAGCTGGCTGGGGCACCCACACAGTATTGGGCAAGGAAAGAGAGCCCATGGAGCCTGTGGTTGCTTTGCTGTCAGCAGAATCAGGGTATTTTTAGACTACACCAGTAAATATGGAAGGTTTTTCGTTTTCAACAGTTTAACCCATTGAACATGAATGGGCTGGGCTATCTGTAGGACAATACCGTAAAGGGAGAGACAAATGAAAAGGTTTTTGCCCTTTTGCCCTCTCCTCTCTGGTCCATCCTCATGCAGAATACAGTCCCGTCTCCAGTTCACACTGGTACCCTGGAAGCCACGGCCTTCCCCAGAGCATAACCTGCTGGTTCCTGACCTCACGGGGTACACCAAAATATTATGAGAAGAATAGTTTTGGTTTTTTCTCTTTGAGGAAAAAATCACACCTTAGAGAGAGCTCTCTTGGCTTATTACTGTTTGAGCAGTGACTGCATTATGGAATATCTTAAGCTGCATGGGATAAGTTTTTCTCTCCTGATTTTGCAAGAAAGCCTGGGTCACTCTTCTGGGGTGGAGGAAGACATGAGGTCAAGCCCACAGCCTGTCCTGAGCACAGTGTCCTCCATGCTATCTGAGTTCAGCAGTGACTGCATTATGGAATATCTTAAGCTGCATGGGATAAGTTTTTCTCTCCTGATTTTGCAAGAAAGCCTGTCCTGGGCACTCCTGCAGGAGCTTCATCCAGACATGGAGCTTGGCATGTTTCATGTGGAGGTGAGCAAACTTCTGATAGCACCTTCCCAGGTTGGAGCCATGGTGCAAATCAGAGGGAGACAAGACACCAGTGGCCACAGCGTAAGTAATTTCAGCACACAGACAACTTGTCAGTGGACTTCCCACTGACTACCAGATATCTGAAACTTCACAACAGAAAGCATCTCTGCTGCGAGGAAATAACATCTGACGAGCTATCCTGTTACAGGTGGAGGAAGAGCAGAAGCCCACATTACTGCAGTCAGGAGCAGTAGGTGGAGCAGCTGTTTGTTGGTCAGGGTCCCTAGCCTACAAAAACCTGGAGCCAGGGAGGGGCTGGGAAACACCCCTTCCTCTTTCCACAAGCCTAGAGATCATTTAAGATGTTCTCCTATAGCACTGGGGAAAATAAGGCAGCAGACTTGTGCCTTTTTTCCTGCTCCTAGAGGGGGAAAAATGGGACCATGTCATGATTCAGGAGCTGAAGCACAGCTGCAGGTAAGCACGGACAAAGATGGAAGGAAGAGGGGAATGAAATTTGAAGTGTCTGTGGGAGTAAGGAAGGCTGTTGGATTGATGGTGGGAGATGTAGTTGATGAGTGTGTATTTTGTGGGGATGAGATGTTCCTGTGTAGCTGTATTGTGTCAGGGAGTGCTCTGTGTGGGGATATGTCTGAGGTGTCTTTGAATTTTTTAAGTAAAATGATTATTAGCTGTCATTAAACAGTGCTGGCA